TCAAATGATACCGCCGTTCTTCAACCGTTAATCCAAGCATTCGTGGACAGAAACCACAAACAAGTTAGAGCTGCTGGACTTACCCCAATGGTCTGGGAAGAAATGATCACAACATGGAACCTCACCTTAGGATCTGATGTTCTTGTTCAATCATGGCTCAGTGATGCCTCTGTCGCTCAAATTGTCGCGGCTGGACATAAAGCTATTGCTGGCAATTATAACTTCTGGGTAAGCATTTTACAATGTATCCGCATAAATTAATTCACGTACTGACAAACTTTTAGTATCTCGATTGTGGCAAAGGACAGTGGCTCAATTTCGAGCCAGGTGCATCCTCTGAGAAGTACTTCCCCTACAATGATTATTGTTCGCCTACCAAGAGTTGGCGCTTAGTCTACTCCTACGATCCTCTCGCCGGAGTACCCGAAAACTCAACTCATTTGGTCGTTGGCGGAGAATTTCACATTTGGTCTGAGCAAACCGATCCAATCAACCTTGACGATATGGTATGGCCAAGAGGAGCTGCCGCCGCAGAAGTATTGTGGTCAGGAGCCAAGGACCCAGTCACTGGACAGAACAGAAGTCAAATCGAAGCAGGCAGCAGATTGCCAGAATTCAATGAACACTTGAGAACTTTGGGAATCAGATCGGGACCTGTACAAATGATTTACTGTACACAACTCAACTCGACAACATGCGCATTGTAGGTTGGGAAATTGGGATAGTTACTATGAAGCTATGGATATCGGCGGAATCGCATTTGGGAAAGGAGTTCCTTGGGGGCATCGGATATAATATTACATTTATATCTCTACTTAGACTTACTTTCCACGTGTACATAGATTAGATCTTAAGAGGGATTTACACAACGATGAAGATTTGACCAATGACTTGTCTATTTGCCTGTCCCAATGAGTATGTGAACTCTCGAGAGTGTAGGTACCTATGTAGATTTCGGATCAACTGTAAATTGACAATCGACCAGGTTGCCTGAACATAAAAATACCTTGTGCATCTACCTGGTATCTGGTATGTAGTGAGCGAGTAGTGTTTACAGTACGCGAAGTCCATCATGCATTTCTTCATTTTTTATAGAATTGATGCTCCCACCAGCTCCTACTGACCCCAACTGACTTATTGACCTACCTACTTACCAGGCTCGAGCCAGGTATGTGTTAGACAGAATTTCTATCCATAATGCGTAATCATCTGCGATGGATTCCTCATCATCATAAATGTGGAAACGGCAGCCGGAGTCAAACCTTACCCCGGATTTGTCCACAGATCTTGTTTCTTTTACATGTGGAGCCTCGGTCCTCCTCGCAAACCATCAATGTTTCCCTTCCTTCTCCTCTGAAACACCCCCGATGTGCACAACACACATGTATGTTCGTATGTTCGTAAAATTATCCAAGGAAATCCTCAAGCCATCATTTCCAATTCGAGCAAAGGTAAAGATCACAAGGGGCTCCCTCTTGCCATTCCTCGAGAAAACCCCACCTTACTGTACAAACGGAACTTGAAGATTGCGACAAGGCCTAATAATTCATCCGATTCTCAAAGGTATAACAAAGACGACAATCTGTGCAAATATGACAAGTACAATTGAAAACAACGCCTGGTTTCAGACTTGGTTATATAAGTCTTCTATCTCTTAGTTCTGGATGTTACTCATTCATTTATTTCTTCATAGATTCATCATTTCTCATTCCCATATATATGAGCGAGCACATTGATATATAGAGCAAAACACATCCTGCATCATGTTGGAAAGCATATCAATAAAGTCTCTCATCTTACCATTTGTAGTGATTTTTGTCTTGTTTAAAGTCACACAATTTGTTCAGAGAGAGCTTAAGATTCGATCACTGGGTGGTCATGCCAGAAGAGCGAAAACATGGATTCCATTCGGTACAAATCAAGACTACAATTGCTTTTGCAAAGAAGCTTGCTAATGATCTTCAGATCTCGACCTCGTTGCGCGTTCGGTCAACTATGGCATGCATGACAAGAATCTCGAAGCTTGGATGGCATTCTTCTCCGGTTACAAAGACATACGTTATACAGTAGAGGCAAATCCAGGAGGACAGCGTACGCTATTCACTGCGGAACCAGAAAATATTAAAGCTATACTCGCGACTCAATTCACAGACTACGGCAAAGGGGAACCATTTCACAATGATTGGAAAGATTTCCTTGGTGACAGCATCTTCACGACAGATCTTGACCAATGGCATGATTCTCGTCAATTGATTCGTCCACAATTTATCAAGGATCGAGTCAGTGATTTGGATACTTTCGAGAGACATATTCAAATTTTAATCCGGAAGGTCAAAGAAGAAGGCAGAAAATGGGATGGCACTCAGGGTCGGGAGATTGATATTAGTGATTTGTTCTTCAGATATACTCTAGATGCTGCGACAGACTTTCTGCTAGGACGCAGTGTGGAAAGTTTAGAGAAACCAGGAGAATTTGCAGATGCTTTCGCAGAGGTTCAGCGGGTACAGAGTATTATCGCGAGAGCTGGGTATGCATTCCTGTCTTCATTTTTTAAAACGATCGCTAATATTGTTCTCAGACCTTTGAATGGATTAGTTCCAAGAAAATCATTCTACAAAGGTCTCAAGGTTATCAATGAATTTGTTACCCCCTTCATTGAAGATACGCTTCGACTTTCTCCCGAGGAACTAGCAACCAGAACGAAAACAGAGGAAGGGTATACATTTCTCCATGCATTAGCTTCCTACACCCGTGATAGAAATGTACTTCGAGATCAACTCGTAGCAGTCTTACTTGCCGGTCGCGATACAACAGCTTCCACTCTCTCGTGGACATTTTACGAATTAGCTCGTCACCCTGAAGTTTTCAGGAAATTGCGCGAGGAAATCATCTCGAAAGTTGGTCTAGAGACACCCCCAACTTATCAACATTTGAAAGATATGAAATATCTACAGGTACGTCCTTCATTATTCATTACAGCACAAATCTCTTACTTACAGCTGCAGAATGTTATGCACGAAACCCTTCGTCTTTACCCCGTCGTTCCTTTCAATGTCCGTCTCGCTCTCAAAGATACCACACTGCCCGTCGGTGGCGGACCAGATGGCCTCTCTCCTATGGGAATTCTCAAAGACACTCCAATCGGCTACTCCACTCTCATTATGCAACGCCGCGAAGATCTTACTCCAGACGTCATGTCCTTCAATCCTGACCGCTGGTTCACATGGCAGCCTAAACCTTGGCAATATATTCCTTTCAACGGCGGTCCTCGAATTTGTATTGGTCAACAATTTGCACTCACCGAAATGGGTTATACGATTGTTAGACTCTTGCAAAACTTTGATGGCCTTGAGGGATTTATGCATGAAATTGATGGAGGAAACCCACAATTGAAAGCGGATATTGTTTTACAGCCTGGACAGGGTGTACACGTGGGATTTTTGGAAGGGCAAAGCGGAACTGTCAAAGAAAAGGTCTAGGATGGTGAAAATGATGTCTCTGGGAATGATGATCCGGCGTTGATTGTTTACTTGGCTGCTCTGGGAGATGGCTAAAGGGAATAAATATTAACAATTGATGAAAGTGCTTATTTCAGCTCAACTCATTATGTAAATGTAAAAATAAGAAATTGGGTTCTTTTATCTGTTTTTACAATAATCTGAATTTCGATGTACTCGAGTACCAAAATGAATAGTGAGCCAAGTGTCTCGTCACAATCATTCTATCATATGCGATATTCGAGCTTAATTATTCCATTACATATAAGCATCCTGTAGTCTCAATTTGTTTGTCGTCTTAACAGTAGTGCTGACATGTTTAACATGCCCGAATCTGCGAATCTACAACGCAATATAAGCCTATTCTTTCCCATTCACAACAACTCAAGGCTTGATTATAATATTGAAGGTCATGCGGACTGAGTATTGGAGAACAAGATGATAGGGTAAGCAGAAGTCAAATCACTGCACTTGAAGCGATGTAAAGTGAGAGTATAAATATTCGGCTGGGACGACTGTCTTTGAATTTTGGTATACTACGCGATACAACAGTGCAACGCAGCAACAAGGCGCAAAGGCTGTTGAGACACACTAGCGTGATGTAGTTGTTGGGATGATATCTTGTATGTATGGCGAGATAGAATGAGGGATGGGATGGTATCGTATACGGACTGAAATGTGAGTCTTGATGACAACGCTCTTGAATTGGCCGATGATTATTGTGTTGTCGGTTGTTTAATATTGGCAAATAGTTTTGTTGTTGTTATTTGCACGTTTTATAGGCTAGAATTCTTTTCGGTGTACTTTGTTTCGTCGTGGAAGATCGAGATAAGATGGGTGGTATGTGTTGGGCTGGAGTGGATTGGTCTATAGTATGGATCCTGAACCTGAAGGAGAACGAGAAGTTAGCTTAAGACGTGCTTGGGATGAAAGAAAATTTGTGGATTTGCTTTTATACTGTGGATGGAGGTGAGGATCGTGGGGGTGGGGGTTGGAGGGTGAGACGCGGTCTGCTAATGGGAGTTGTGAATGATGCCGATTATTTTGATTCTGATGTCATATCTGATTGATTGATTAATTGATTTTCCTGGCTGGCTGTAGTACTAGACCTGGCGAGGGAAATGCATAAGAGAGATTTATACGATCTAGACAACTTCTTCCTAGGTGTCAAGTTCGCATATCCCAACGATTATGCTGGATCCGGTGGAATACTCGACGTTCTATCTTCTCCGAGTTTCCTATTTTATTTTCGCGATGCTATGAAGAAATCGAAGTTGGGAGGTGTGTGTATTTACTACGTTTTCTGGTGAATTTTCACGATCAAGTTTACTAGAGCATCGTCATATTGAGTACTTTCTGTCGTCTATCCGCAATATGTTGTCAACAGCGATCGAGTATTGTACATAATCTCAAAGTTTCCATCAATGCCATCATTTATTAATAATCGTCATACTTTTTCGCGCCGCTGATAGTCAAGCTATTGACATCTTAATAGTATGATACTTATACATCGAGTGTATCTGCCAAAGCATTGATATATTTACATCGTTGAAACAATTTTTCTTGCTCAATCAACCTCTTCCTTTCAGCTTCCTTCACCGAGCCCATCGATCTATACTCATCTGCGCCAGACAACACTTGTTGCCATGTCCTGATATTCTCATTTTCCAGATTCTGTTTCGAGCTGTCAGAGTTATCTTCGTCGGTCAAGATAACAGGTCCTGTGCCATGTGGTCCTCCAATGACTTGAATCCTCAAGCTCTCGAGTTGTGTATCTTCCATGTCAACTTTGCCATACGATCCAGGCCATTCGGCAAATTGTTTTTGTGATAGAGATGTATTGATCGGATTCCCATTATAAGCAAAGTTGACAAGACTTCTAGCCATCATCTCTGACATCTCGTTGTCTTCTTCAGTGAGTTGACCTTCGGGGAATACGCCGTTGAATAAGTAGTTGTTGTCAGATCCGTGAGATACTTTGACATAAGGCATTCCAGCGCCTTTCCATAGCGGAGTCAAAGCACTCTGATTCAAGTCATAGAGCCTTACTCCCCTAAATGTAGGGTCCATCGTTCGTTGTGTCCATTTAACCATGTGATATCCAAAATCAATCGATGAACAGGTAAAAAGTAGATCTCTCAAGATGCGGGAAACTCGAAAATAATGAACTGAAATATCAGGATCCTCAGAATCTTTTTGTGATACGTAATTGGTCAATTCTTCTTCAAAGTCTGATGCCGGGTATAGATCAAATAGTTCTGCATATTGTTCTGTAGTCATGGCATGCGCGAATGATTTAATGGAGGTTATCATATCTTCCTCGGATTGTATGAGATGTCCAGGGCCAACACTCATGGCACCATCATCTTGAGTCCACCCAAATATCATATTAATGCCTAGACTGAGTTAGAATACGCGATGCCTTGTGATTGTTGACACAAATGATAGATAACCTACCTTTTACAAATCTACCCTCACGCATCATAGTTGAGTACCGATCAGGTAGAAAATCATCATCAACCGAAGGAATAAAGGTAAAGAGACCGGAAGGCGGATGATTTGACACGGAATACTCCATTGCAGAATCAATGAGATCTTGCATAGGAATATTGCGCAAGCATGAAAGAATCTCCGAATCCACAAGTCCTCCACAACCGACTCTATCTGCCACAACTCTAGTATGATGTTCAGTTGCATCACTGGTCATATTTAGAGAAGTGCCAGGCGGTCCAGACATAACCCATGCTTGCTGAAAGGGTACACCTTTCTGACCACCATATGCCATTATCTGAAGCGAGGTCATCGTACCACCGGCACTCAAGCCATAGGCGGTGATACGATTTGGATCACCGCCGAATTCTTGGATGTGATCTCTAATCCATTCGAACGCCGCACGTTGATCTCGCATACCAAGATTGAGAGACTTCTCGTCTTTTAATATAGGTAGTCGTGGGAATCCGAAGATACTCAGACGGGAATTCAGAGCTACAAAGATTATAGGATTTCCGTCGGCGACGGATAGTGAGATGAGTTTGTTAGGGGAGATGTGGTCATCATGGTTAGAGCCTTTGATGGCTCCTCCCTCGGCGTTGTATACAACGACTGGGAGATTGCTTTTTGAGCTTATATCTAATCCACTTGGTCGAGCAATGTGGAGGTGTAAACAATCTTCACTGATTTCTTCAACTGCAGAGAAGAAAGGCGGCATAGGATCTTTGATTTGAGGACATGCTGGACCGGGTAAAGAAGCATCTATGATGGTACCAGGAGGGGGTGTAAACGGTTTTGGAGGCGCGAAACGGTTAGGTCCGGATGTATCCGCAGCATATTTAACATTGTGGAAGTGTTCGATATTGTTTGAGATGATTCCCCGAAAGGTTACTTGAGATTCTGAGAAAATTACTTCGGGGGTGGATAAAGATTTTATCGCGGAGGCGATCGAAAGGAAGACTAAGATCAGGGACGCGGGGATGCGCCAAGTAAACTGCGATGATTGATTCATGATGATATGAAGGGAGAAAGAGTAACACTTTCGAGAGAGATATTTGGGTGAAGTGCGACATAAATGAGTGTATATTCCTCGGTAATGTGCAACTGTTGCAATCTGACATTTAACCAACAGTCTAACAACAGCTTGTCCAACATATCCACTTTCTTGCATTTGACTTCATTTTCGCTCCTCTAATACATCTTCGTTCTTCGCTTCATGAACGATAACAATATATCGTAGAAACCCGCCTTGTACTCTCCAGCCAATTTTCGTTCCGCCCTCGAGAGGTATTTAAGGACCTTTTCAAGCACAGATATTAACTATATACAAAGGACACAGCACTCCTGAGACTCTGTTAAAGTGTTTCGTCACAGTGATATAGTCTTGTAATCATCCAAGCTTTGCTCGAAAATCTTAAATCAGAGCACCGAAAATCATACCGGATGAGTAGACACCGAGGATGGAAATCTTGTCGTCATTGTGCAGTTTCGTTGCCATCAAAGAGACGTAGGTACTACTAATTTTTTTTTTTCATAATACTGCTTGATTTACGACCTTGTCGATATTGTAAATTCTAATCTTGGTCAAGTGAGCCATCTTGGAATGAATTTTCCCTTCGAACTTACTTCATGTCCATGAGCTAAAGCGGAAGTGAAGTCAACCCATATAAAAGCATTCAATTTATTTTCATATTTTGGGATTCTGACTCTGATCACAAATACGAGGCGAGAGAACAGACCCGTAAGATTCAATACAAATACCTTAATTCCTCCCACATCACACAATATAAAGAGCTCCCCAATCCACACTCCCTTCTACATAATCAAAAATCTCAAGTCAAGGTTCCCAACGCCTTCATGGCATCCCCACCAAGCCAAACCCATTCCTAATATTCAAGAAGCAGAATCATGTACAAGAAAAGGCCCAGGAAAGACTGAGAAGTTGAAATAACACTCTAAGTTAACGCTATACTTGACAGCAAGATTTAAAATTTTATCATTATCAATTCTCTCAATCGCCACTGGGCAGTGTTTGTTGTCGTGTCTAATATGGAACCTTGATTCATACTAAATACACATTGCTATTCGCGTATAGTTTCAAGACTCCAGGAGGTTGATATATTGAGACAGAACAAGTTTGCGTGCGCGGCTTTCCGCTCCTCGACCTCGGTTCAAAATTCCGCATGGACTCCCCGATTCTCTTCTATCTCTCAACTGCACCTCGCTCTTTGTTGAAGAGATAGATTAATATAGAGGAAAATAGAGAATGAGGTATAAATTACAGATTCACTCTGCGAAAGGGTCATAATTTTGAAATATAGGCTGAACTTCATGTCCAGGATCATCTTGATTCGAGAAAGCCTTAAGATACTATACAACATGCTAGTTCTTCCTGTAAATTTTCATGCCTCTAAAACTTGGGTTCAAAATCATCCCGTTATCTCGCAACAGATTGTCTAACCCGATTTAATATCAACGCCTCGCAACTATGCAATCAAAATGCACCCCCTTATTCAATGCCAAAACTGTTTCTAACAGCCACTCCGAATCTCTCAATAGCCTCTGTCATCTTTTCCTCCGATGCAGCAGCGAATGTGGCGCGGAAAAACATATCTACTGGTACAAAGCCATCTTTCTCAGCTGTGAACCAACTACCTGGACAAATGAGAACTCCTTGGTCAATGCCGGAGAGGAAAATTTCTTGCTCAATATCTCCGATTGACTTGGTTTTGGCAGCTGGGTGTTTATGCCAATCTACCGAGAGCCAGAGCTGAAATTCGTTAGTCAATTCCTATCAAATTTGGGTTCATGAAATACTTACGAACATGCCGGCAGATGGTGGGTTCCAGCTTACGATATCCTTGGGCAAGTATTTTTCACATGCGGCAAGAATGACATTTCGGCGCTTAGTGTATTCTAATCGGAGGTTGATCAACCATTGAAGGTAACCACCATGTCCCCAGCTTTCATCAAGAATTTTGTAAAGAACCATTTGGGAGATTCCACTTGGGTTTTGGTTGGAGTTCTCATTGGATCTAATAAATCTCTCGACGATTTGCTCGGAAGCAGTGATCCATCCTACTCGAGTACCAGGTGCAATTACTTTGGAGAAAGAATCCATTCGCATTACTCTTCCATCAGTATCAATGCTTAGGTAGGTTGGAATGAGAGCTTTCAAAAATTCATCATTATTAGCGGGTGGTGGGACGTCGGGAGCATCTGGTCCTGTGTATGGTTGCATTTGGAGGAAGTAGTAGGGTTCATCTTCTATGATGTATAAATCGTGCTTTTGAGCAACCTTGTAGATAGCATGCCGCCTCTCGGTACCTTGAGTTGCACCGGTAGGGTTTTGCCCGGAAGGTACAGTGTAAAGAACGAATGGCTTTCTCGCCCCCCTTGCCTGTTCATCCCAGTTGCTCAAGATTTCATCCAAGGGTTCTGGTAAAAGACCTTCTGCATCCATTTTGACACCCAAGAATTTTACACCAAGAGGAGCGGCAGTCTCGACAGCAGAAGCAAAAGTATATTCTTCAGATAACACAAAGTCGCCTCTTTCACAGAAGATGCGGAATGTCTGCTCCAAAGCTGAGGTACTTCCGACAGTGAGGGAACAGCCCCAATCTGCATAAGGTGGGTTGCAAACGATTTCGGTATGTTCTGTTACCCATCGAAGCATCTGGGCAGATCCTGAACCTTGTCCATAGTTGAGTGCGATAGATAGATCATATGCTCCCTTGCCCTCAGACACATCATATTTCCCAGCAGTTAAGATGGTTCCAGATTCTTTTGTTTGTGCCTCCGAGAAGTGAGGTACAGTAGGAACCTTGATGGATAGCTCTTCGATTGGGAAATAGTCGGGACATGGTAAACCTCCTCCGAGAGAAATCATTCCAGGGCCGAAGTATTTAGCGGCGCTTTTTAAGTTCGATGGTTTTCTCGATCTGCTCTCGAGGGAGATACGATCTGCGAGTAATTAGTCAAAGTGCATGTACGTATACAGATTGAAAGGGTGACATACGATCAAATCTTTTGGCCTTTGGTTTCCATGTTGACTGTGACTCATTAGGAAATGACCAATATCTCTGGGGCAGAATGTACCAACCGGACTTTTGAAATGATCACTGGTAGTAAAGGCTGCGACACCCGCAACGAATTTCCCAGCCTTTGCCCTTCTTGCAGAAACTCCATTGACAGTCAATGGATCAGGAAGGACGATAGCTTCAGTGTCGACTACACCCTCAACATCAATTGCAGTTGGAGGGGCCATCTTCTCTTATCTGACTTGATCTGAGTTGTAAAAGTATGTGGAGGAAAGTAAATGGAAAGGAAAGATATGCTGAAGAGGTAAAGACTGAAAGGATCTTTGAGGAATGACAGAGAAATACGGTGAGTTTATACTTGATGCGACTTCCCGTTGTTGAGTATGTAGTTTGCAAGGGTCGAGACAGTTGTTCAACGGGTGTCAAATCGAAGGGCGTAACTCTCCTTCGTAATCTTATGGAGGAAAATAACTTACAAGAAAAGGATGTGGAGACGGAGGACGGGAGACGGGAAAGTTGAGACGTAAACGAAGTGAGAAAGATAACAATGTGACTACCATTCGCATTATATGTATCATGTATACCTGAAGATCATAGAAATTATCATGTAATTATCAAGTCATCAAGTAATGGTTCCACCTTGAAAAGAGTCAGAGAGTTGCCGGTATCGTAGAGAGTTAGAGAGTTTTACTCGAGCAGAGGGGCAGAAGGGAAATGTTCAGATTGCCGGTATCGCTGGGTAGTATTTGAGGAAGGTTTAAAAGACGCTTATCGCGATAGAAGCCGTAGATAAGCGATACGACCTTTCCCTTTTTGGATTAGCCTACGCGGGTCAATTCCATATTGTGGCATCCATATCACTGATGACTGGAATGAAATAAGGGAAAGAAAGATTGGAGGCTCGGAAGGAGGAAGGAGGAAGGAGGAAGGAAGGGTAGTGATTGATTGATTGGTAATATGCACGATTCACGAAGAGAGTGAAATGTCACCGTTGCTCGTTGCATGTATTGGCTTGCGAAGATTGGCCAATAATGAAACCTTGGCTTTAGGGCTGCTGATTGATTCGTCGACCGACTGCCTGGTAAGGGAGAAAGAAGGAAGGAAAGAAGGAAGAAAGGAAGTATAAAACAGTCTTGGTGGAATCAGTACCTAATAATTTTATGTAACCCAAGTGTTTAAACATTGGGGTCAGACAGCATTGGGCAATATTGGCACATCAAGCAGTGCATCCAGCAGATATCCATTCATAACCCATGAATCCTTAGCAAAAATGGATATGGATAGAAACACAGCATGTTGACCATATCCAATAGAACATCAAGGACGGCGAATTTGATGTCACCTCTTAGAAGTATCGTCATTCCCCTTGCATATGACTACATGTAGTTAAAAAATCCTGAAAACCGTATGTACTTTCTCTCTTTCTACTGACGGAGGTCGAGCAAAGAAATAGTAAGGAGAAAAGATCAATCAATTATTAGTAGAGTGATTGTTGGTTGAAACATGTAATTAACTAATTGACTGACATGCGCAAAAAAACGCAAAAAGAAGCGATTTGTAGGGAATTGAGCCCAACGCGGGGGTCGAACCCGCAACCTTGTGATTGATCTAGAACATCTTTCAATGGATAAGAGTCACACGCTCTACCGATTGAGCTAGCCGGGCAGGCTGTTTGCTCCATTTGTTGGAAACCTTCCTTGGGTGTGACATTATATTACCTTGACACAGAAAAAACTTTTCGTGCGTCAATAGAATTACTCGCTCTCTGTAAGCGAGTCTTTCTACAATGCTTGATAGTCTATTCATAGGAGAAAAAACAGGTGGAATTTGACAATTCAAATTTTTATTGAAATCCTCTAACTTAATTGAATAAAAAATAATTTACAAATAATTTATATAAATCTAAAAAGATCAAAAGAAATATTAGACTTTTATTATTCAAATAATATTTCAAGTTTTTATTTTATATAAT